GCGGTTGGCGGTTGCCAATTTACCTACCAAGCGTAGCATCTATGGCAAATATTACTATGACGCAATCTACGGGGAGACCTATGGTCGGCAGTGGACATTTGAAAATTTATGTATATACATTATATTAAAGAAATTTGTTATTTATGGATTATTATGTATGTTTGTACCACGCCATGAGTTAACTGGCAGAAAATGCTAACTTTAAGTTTATGGTTAGCGCAATAAAGTTTGTAAATAAATAAAAATAATTAGGTACGTAAGTTAACATCAATCGTAATTCAACAAGTATAAATGTGGTACATTATCTAAACTTTCTTAATTATTGTTTTAGTTTATAACACATAATCGACTTTTTATAGCTAGGAATGAACCATTATTATTTTACCGTTAGACTCAAAGAGCAAATTTCAATTTCACAACAAATTACGAACATCCAACCAAAAGTAATTTAAGATAAGATAAACATTTCAAGTGTTATCACTTTAAGAGACCGTTGACTCATTATTTTTGTATTAGATGCTTCTCACCAATATTTTTTTTGCTGAGAATTAAGTTTGCTAACGTACTTTAACTAAGCCTGAATCATTGTGTATTGTATTATGTGTTAGTAAATTTCTAATAGTTGTGCTAGGATATAACGTGGCAACACTAGCACATATTATTTACTTAGCTCTAGCTCAAGCTTCTTTTAAAACACATCTGGTGTGATATAAATGTAACCCCTGCGTTACTTAGATCTATGGTACCATTTTCGGCCTTTTATCTGTATATGTAGATCAAAATTGTCGGTTGGATATTTACCGAAAACACACAAATACATATACTTGCACGTAGATCGTAGAATTTATTGTAGTTGCATTAATTGTTTCTTCTATTTGTTTGACTCATTTCCTTGTAAATTATTAGAGCGAGGAAATATCTGTTATTGAATAAAGATCAAAAAGTTTAAACGTTCTCCAGTAGTAGGATAGTTTGGATGTTAATTATCATTTTAATATTATAGTTAATATATAATAACAGTGGTAGACTTTATTAAAAAGATATAACCAATTTCTTTATAATTTAACATAAAATGTAGTTATACTTGCTAAAGCTTTGATATATAATATGTATTTGGGTAGTTCTCACTTTTGAAAAAATATGTGTGACTATCATTTTTCTAAGCTGTAGTACCTAAATACCGGGATTGTGTTTTGTGTTTAATAACATATAAGTAATATATTGTAAATTTAGCATATATGTAAATTAACTTCATAGTTAGTTTTTTATTAAAAATCAAATAATCAAATACGGCCCTACCGTGGGAGTGATTCCTCTGACTTTGTGAGAAAAAAATTTAATGGCTAAGAAAACCATAATATAATAAATAAGTAAAAAAGAATACCAATATTAACTACTATCAATTTACTACTTTAATATGTAAACATTATGTCTATATTTTTACAGATTCTTCATTTTATATTATTCATATATTTTTTATATATTTTATATTATATCTTCATATATATTTTATGTTAAATTATAAAGAAATTGGTTGTATCTTTTTAATAAAGTCTACCACTGTGGTTACATTATATATTAACTATAATATTAAAATGATAATTAACATCCAAATTATCCTACTACTGGAGAACGTTTAACTTCTAAATCTTCATTCAATAACAGATATTTCCTCGCTACAATCAAAGTCAGCCTTGCAACTTTTTGCCTATTGAGGCCATTTTGGATTGTTTCGCGAAAAATTTCCGAAAGAGACTGATGTATTTGCGCAGTTCACGAAAATACACAATTAATGTTCGAAAAACTAACTGACATTATTTCTGATCAGAATTTGCGGGAGCTCTGTAAAACGGTAGTATGTGACATGAATTCAGAAGCGTGTATGTTACGCAAATTATGCGAGATGTGTAAGACTAGAGTTCCGAAAATAAATGAATTTGACGACTTGACTTAAACAACATACAAATTATGGACAGTAAAAAGAGAAAACAGATTGATACATGGCAAGAAAAAAGAAATACGTAGAACTGTGAAATCTGAAGTGAATATATCTAAAAAAACCCTGCTATTAGTTTCTTGAAGCCTTGGATAAATTTTTGGTACACCAATATTACATAACGCACCAAAACATGGCAACTACCTCATTAAAGACCAATATTAAAGTAGGAGAAATGTTCATGCAAGTAGACTTTTCAGAAAATTACTGCTGCAAATATTCCAACGAAATACAAGGCAGCAAGTAACTCTACATACCGAAACCCAAAAAGCGTCGGTTTCCCCGCTGAATGGCTATACTCAGTTTTTGAGCGAGAAAAGAACCAGCCCTCTTATCACCAGCAGCAACGATCAGCCGCGGATGGAGTTCCTTTAGGAACTTCACCACACGTCGACCCCACGGACCGATAGTCTCTACAGGAAATGGCACAAATAGGTAGTCATCTCTCAGAGACTCATATTTGCGCCACTTAGTTCAGCTGCCTCTAATGCCGCCCCGGCTCTAAACGAGGTACCCCTGAGATGAGAGGCCGCCAAAGTATATTAAATGAGAAGGAATTTTAAGGTTATTTCTTTAAATAATGGATATTTAATATTCATATTTCATTTATAATCTCCTTTCTTTTGTCGGTAAAAAGCATTTAAACTTTTATGTTACACTTTACATAGAGAAGAAATTGAAACAGTAGGCACTCTGCTTGTTCAGTTCATAGTATTACCTACTCGTAGCTTATTAGTATTTAATAAACTTTTGATGTATTTTTATAGAAGTATAGGTACGTAGTGGTATTATTTATTCTCTGGTATAGGCAGCAACCAAATAAAACTTTCAATCATAAAAATAATTGTTAAAGAAAATACTGATGACAAATCCGTAAAATAAAAATTGTTTATAAAAGTTAAAATAACTAGCAAAATCAAGATAATGCTAATTTGATTTTAAACTACATGATGTACTTACTGCTAATATAATAATGTCTATTAAGCAATTAAAATACTATTACTTAAAAATGTTGATTGATTTTGTATCTAATTACCTGAGTATAATTAATGAGGATAAAAGGCATTTTTTTATTTATTTATTAATATAGGTAGCAAACAAACAGTGTCCACCTGGCGGTAAGGTTCGCGGATGCAAATTCCCATCGATACTACATCTATTGTCAATTAAAAATTTATTAATCGAAATGGAGTTGTTCTGTCATCCCTAAGGAATAAGATGGAGTGCGTGGTTACCAGAAAAAGAGTCAAATATTCTCGTTAGTCGTGACCCGTCACCCACCTTACGAAGTGCTGCTATTTTACGTTTTTAATCTGTGCTAGTTTGGTCCTCTTCGTATGTCACCGACCAATTCGAATTGCAGTCATAATGCAGTTGCAGCGTATTACTTTACCACTGTTTATATAGGCAAGGCTTACTATTATACTAATTAATATGGCGAGAATGCATGCATTTAAATGGCAACAAGCTACGAATTTCCAGTCAACCGTAGCAAATGATCCCGCAGTGCTACTGACCACAAAACGTATCGGCTAAAACTTCACAATTCACTACAATATTCCATGTGAGCGAATTCAGTTCCTATTTTAATTACAATAAGAACTAAATTGATGTGTTTAATTACTCAGACGAATTATATTTTTTGTCTGCGTCATGAAGTCGACGATCTAATCGTAAAAGCGATGATACCGTCTCGAGGTTTACTCCGCTTTTGCGACGAGTCTTAACAAATTAAGAATATTTGTAGATACTATGCAAAAAACATAGAAATTTCAGGAAATTGTAAATAAACTTGCTTTAAAATTGCATAAAAGTATTTATAGCTTCATATGTCAGTGAAATACAAAGAAACAGTGTAGTGTAGAAACAGTAAGTTTTCAACAGTGGTAGAGCCACGCGGCAGCTTTTGCTGTCGCACGGATGGGCCGGCTCGAACCGGGGTGGTACCACGACCTCACAGAAAACCAGCGTGAAGTAGAGGTTTACCTCTGTGTTTCGCTTGGTGAGTGCAGGTGGCCGGAGGCCCTTTTTACTGGAAATGAGGCATTCCATCTTAGTCCTCACGGGTGACAACGCATCTACATTTTGATTTGTAATAGAGGATTGATGTAGATATCTATGGGCCGCAGCAACCACTTACCATCAGGTGGACTATGTGCTCGTTTGTCACCCTTATCCTATAAAAAAAAATCAATCTAAAATTGAAAGTGATGCCTACCTAACTATATTCAGTTTATCGAAAATAACTGAGAACTTTATAAAATTTTGGATAGCATTCTCGCTTGAAAGCGTCACAATAATTTAAAAAAATAATATTTGTACAGTCGAACCTTTTTATTTCTATATATGTATATATATAGTAGCTGACCAGGCAGACGTTGTTCTGCCCTTTCCTGGGATGACCCTTTCTCCAATAAAAAATCCTTAAATTCCTAATATAAAATGGTCACTTATCGGGATAAAAACTATCCTGTCTTTCAAGTTGGACCAAACTGCTCACAGTGTGCAAAATTTCATTGAAATCACAGTAATTTAGGAGTTCATCGCGGACAAACAATGTGACACGTAATTTTTATATATAAAGATATATTAGACGTGATTATATATACTAGACTAGAGATTATATATACGTGATTATATTTGCTATATTATAATAGAACCTTCCATTACCCGTACTTAAGTATATCTACACCAAACACCTACTAATATTATTTGACTTTTTATATGTTACATCGGTCATAAGATAACGTTAATTTCTTTTGATATCTATGTGTAATCGAATGAAAGAGGTCGAAATGAGATTGGGGCGATGGCGTGGTAATTAGTAATTACCGTACCGAGCAGTGGTTGGCGCACTGCTGTATGCCTCAGTCCGTTCCGCGCCGCCAAAGCAGTCGCGTCGGCGTTCACAACGCAAAGTAATATGACCACAAAAACACCACAGTTCAAACATAAATGACGTCGTAAGTGACCTTTGCGATTTCGCGCGTTTGATGGTAGGACAATGAGCGAGGAACAGAATCACGACTCCTTCAATTCGTGGGAGTTGAACGGACTGAACTCCTTGGATCTTTGGGATTACACGGTCGAACTAGAGTGTTTGCAAGGAACCGAAGGTAAGTGACTTGCGCAAGGTTGTATGAGAGGCGCCGTTAAAGTTACACTCGTTAATCCATTTATAAGAAAAAAATAGCAGTTAGTACCACTGTAAAGTGCTATAACCAGCTAAAACCATGGAATTGTTTGACTATGTTATTCACACCGACATGAACTCGTAACGCTTTTTTGTCTTGTACTGTTATAATGACGAAGCACTCTGTATGGCAGGTTTAATTTAAAGTAACTAACGCAATATCCTCTCTTTATATTCGAACACAATTATCATGTGAAGTCGTTGATAATTCCATCAATATTAATATCCGTTCAAAGTACAGTTTATATTTTTTATTGTCTGCCTGCACAAATCACGTTTATGTCATTATTTAACCTCACATTTACATTGTATAATCAGTCATGAATGTTTTCAAAGCGTGAAATACATTTAATAGTTATTTATGTACTTCGCACCTTTCGTCACAGATAAAGAAATGTAGATACTCGTATGTTACCTGTGTACTTACAGGACGGGTTCCGCAGTCGAACCATAAGTAGATGTCCCACGAAACCTATTTGAATCTTAGATGGCGGCACAGATTATCTAATAGTTACTACGTAAGCGGTAGTATATCAAAAATATCGCTGTTAAACCATTATAGACAGAAAATACCACACACCTTACTAAGTATAAACACGTAGGAACACAATATTATATCTATGTGATATAATTATTAATTTAAATGTGGTAGAGCCGCCTCTATATTATAGCTGCAGCATGAATGGGTCGGCTCAACCTAGGAAGGAATAAGCTATCACAGAAGATTAGGTACTAGCATAAAATAATAGCATAATACTGCTGTATATCATTGGTTGGTGATGAGAACCGGAGTTACTTTTTACTGACGACGAGACAATCCACTTAGTACTTAGGCTTAGGGATAACGGATCTCCATTTTGATTCCTAATATGATTCTAAATAAAAGATAGATGTAGGTGTCTAAAGGCCACTACAATAACTTACCATCAGCTGGACTGTGTGCTCTCTTATCACCTTAACTTGATTAAAAATTATAGATATTTCAATCCTTTAAAACGTCCTTTTTATTCATAATGCACTCAACAATTAGTTCAACTCTACAACAATGACTAGAAAATATAATACCTAGATCAAACCATTTAAATGTTATGAGATTGCGAACATCTAATGACGATATAGACGTTTGCTATTGAGATTTAATAATTACTTTAAAATTATAGTTTACATCATGGTTTTGTAATCTTCCTCTTTGAAGAAAATGTATCATTAACCAACAAACTGAAATACAATTCAAATGATTCTACAATTTGTTTCGTCGGTTCTATGAACGATAAAAACTGTTCCATAATTACAGCATACATACACACATATAATCACGCCTCTTTCCCGTAGGGGTAGGCAGAGACCAGTTCTTTCCACTTGCTACGATCCTTACATACTTGTTTTGCGTGGACGAACACTTTCATTATTCCCTACATACATGCTCTACGGTTTAGGGTACTCTTGACCTGGCCTTTTACAGCATTACCACAGAACAAAAATGGTACTTACTGGAAGTAGCATAACTTCGTTCATATTTATGTTGATTTTATTTTAGAACTATAAACATAAAACTTGTTGTTATATTGAAAGAACTGGTTCCTTAAGTCTAAATAATATGAATCTTTTAGTTAGTGCAACAAAATATGCAGTGGCCTATACATTGCACATTTTACTCCCATGTCCTAAAATGTGGCGTGTACTATCTGCTTAAGAGAACCCATCATCCCATTTCGTTCTTTACCGACTGTGGAAGATGATAGTTAGGTCTTGTGACCACCGATAGATAGCGGTATCATCAACTCATTAATGCAAACGTGAACGTACACACACCGATGACGAAGACGGACCGACTATGAGACTATGACTTGTATTGTGCGAACCACAGAGTATTTTGCATAAATGCGAACCATCTGTCACTGCGGTCGCCATTCTGACTGATAAGTGTGACCATTAAAGAACGTCTGCGCTGCAATGGGAGGAGGCCATAATCTACCAATGGACTGTTACGGGCTTATAAAGAGGACGAGGAGGAGCCGGGTTCTCTGACCACTGTAGTAGCTAATTATCTAGTCAACGATGATAATTGTTATATTGTTTCACGTCGATGCGTACAAAAACACGTACTTGCGCTTGCTCTTTGTATTGTAATTTTTATTTTATCACGTTATACTGTTTAGAAATCTTCTTTAAACCGGTTGTACTCCGTCTCAGAGAAACATGCTTCAATTTATTTTTAAGGTCTGGTTCTATTGCCTACAGGCTAACCTCAGCCGGTCAGAGAGGAAACGTAGCCAGCGTTCTTGTGCACTTTAACACTATACTACAGGCGGTAGAACTATTTTACTACTATTATTCATCAATAATTTGTTGGTCGTAGCCATAAGTGCAATCTCTGATCATATTGTCCCGGGATCGAATCTCGGCTGTGGCCAAAATATTTTCCTTTTACTTTCAAGAAATTTTCAATAGCAGCCCGGAAGTTAGCGATGTTTTTACCCTCGTGCCACGGAAAGCAAGTAAAGTCGTTGGTCCTACGCCTGAACTCTCTCCGATCTTGCTAAATTACCATCCCATCGGACTATGGAAAGTGAGGGAATAGAGAATACATCCGTGCTTGCGCGCATATTCGTACGCTATAATCCTATCTCCGCTGTAGACATGTGTCATTCGCTCATTTCTAGTGACCCGACATTCTAGTATTGATTCGTCTTACAAACCGGGTCATACGGAGCGATCATTCATATGCATCATTTCGAGTTTTAGTACTCTGTGATTTGTGATACCCACTTGATAATGTCGGTCGTCGAACATTACTCTTTGGTCGTAGTTCCTGTCAATCGTTTGATCCGGAACATTCAAAAAATATAATTGCAATTATCAAAACTTTGATAATTGACCTGGGTTAAACGAATGAATCAATCACGATTGACACATGTCTACTCTGTTGAGACTAACCGCCGTGACCGATACGCGGTCCCGAGATCATAATCTGTGGTAGGAGTAGGACTGTATTGATAATTTTAGTAATTGTTTTTTTATTCTACTTAGTAATTTTTGTATATTGTTTATATCTAAAGCAGCAACAGATTATACTGATTAAAAACGTTACTTACAACAGATAAGACAAAAACTCTGCTTTAAAAAATCCTTAATCCGCAAAAACGAAAGTTATAGCGTAGGCAAATTAATTTTTAGGGTTCTGCTTTTGCTTTTAAAAAAAATACATCTATTATATCATTTTAACAGTGGTAGAGCCACGCGGCAGCTTTTGCTGTCGCACGGATGGGCCGGCTCGAACCGGGGTGGTACCACGACCTCACAGAATACCAGCGTGAAGTAGAGGTTTACCTCTGCGTTTCGCTTGGTGAGTGCAGGTGGCCGGAGGCCCTTTTTACTGGAAATGAGGCATTCCATCTTAGTCCTCAAGGGTGATAAGGCATCTGCATTTTGATTTGTAACAGAGGATAGATGTAGATGTCTATGGGCCGCAGCAACCACTTACCATCAGGTGGACTGTGTGCTCGTTTGTCACCCTTATCCTATAAAAAAAATCTATACAACGTCCTCCTGGACGATTTTCGATTATGGCAATATATTCCGAATTATGGGATGTCGTAAGCTGCAAGAATGTAGATATTAATGTCAATTGAAATACTTTGGGAAAAATACTAATGGGAAAAAGCATAAATAAAATAAAATACTTGTCAAACAACTTACGACTTAACGTTGTTTTATTTTGTATGCCGGTTATAAAATCAGTATTTTTTTTTTAATTTTGCATAAAATTAAACTAATCGTAAGAGATAATGAAATGTTCTTATTACGTTCTTAATATAGGAACGGTATCAATAAGATTATTAGCAATATGTACAAATTTGAACGCGCGCAGCCAAAGTGAGGCGCCGCGAACAATTTAGTTTTCTGTTTTCTCACTTCATTTTTTTTTCCTATTTAGCTTCCACGAACTTCTTTAAATTATGTAGGTACGTAATTCACTGGCTCGTCTACGGCCCACCGTTACGTTGCAACTCCCAATTTCTCGCGATCACGCTCTATTCGTAAAAAAAATAAATTGAGCCTTAGCCCTTAGTACCAAAAGCTTATGCGCAAATAAAATTACTTTCTTCCTAAGCTACCTGAGGTAGGCTAAGATGCAGTATCAGTGATAGACCAACATTCCAAGTGTTGGCTCCAGTTAGGTTCGATATAATATCGATTTTTATATCGAAGCTAACTAGAGCCAACTTGGATCCTGGAGGGACCTGCATTGATGTAGCCAAACTAAACATTAGGTTATCATACGATCGCGTTTTTTTACTGTATCGCTGTAATTCCTGTTTATAACTAATAGCGATAGGAATTTCGTAATATTTTAATTTGCAACGGAGATTGCTTACTTAGTGGTTAACGTAGTTGTTCTAAGCCTGGGTCGAATAAGTTAAAAAAAATAGTGATTTTATTTGAGTACGTTGTGCACGTGAAATGCTTATTTTGATGGCAAAGGCGACAAACCGCCATCTTTGCTACTTACAGCAATATGCTATTATATTATGTCATAAGCAATTTTATTTTTGCATAATCGAAATTTTTCGCTTTGTCGAGTCGACCGCGGTTAGGCGTTCCGATGACTCGTTTTTGTCATTCAGCTTTAGGTACATTTTGACAAAAAAATTAATTCAAAATAGTTATTTAGATAGTCATTTAGGTCGTCATCATGTATATAATGTAATTACATCACATACATGGTGACGACCTTCCTAACAGTTATAGAAAAAAAGGCGTTTTGATACCTCTAAAATTCACAAATGTGCGTTGATTTTGTGTATAAACAACGCATTTTTGTTTTTCTGCCTTGATTCGCCGTTTATGTTAATCTTTGTATTTAGTAATAAGCAAATAATTAACCGATTTTTTGTTCCAAAGTCTATAAAACTTCATTAC